TCTCCCCACCCACCGCTTCAGCAATGGCCTCCAGGTGGAGAGCTTCCAGCTTATGCCGCATCTCTCGGTGCCTCTGACGAAACCAGCCATCGAAGTTGGGTGACTTAAAGAATCGCCTGTTGGGGGGAGGCGAGGACAGGAGGGGGGGGGTCAGTCCAGAGGAGCCTCACACTGGAGAAGCTTGGCAGGAGCCGGCTTGGGCCAATTTGAAGCGCCTGGGGACCCCCTTGGGCCTCAGAGTCTGGCTCTTCCCTGGCACAAGACCTCCGTCTGAAGACGCGTGAATGCCGCAAGCGGAGCTTCTGTCTTCCTGTCCCAGGCAGAGGGGGGGATCGGGGGGCAAGGCAGGGTGGGGGCGTCCCATCTCTGGGGGGGGGAATCTCCCGGATGGAGCGGGGGGGGCAGTTGGCCTCTTTGACCCAGAGGGGGAGGGGCTACCTGTAGAGGGCAAGCCAGTCGCCCTTGAGCACGCAGGTGAGCTGGGGCCCAGCCTCCTCCAAGCTCCTCAGGAAGTCCTCCTGGTGGAAAGGGCGGATCCGGGGGGGAGTCTGGGGGTGGGAAAGAAAGAAAGAGGAGGAGGAGAAGAAGCAGCAGCCCTGCCGGGCAGCCAGAAAGCGAGCCCCGCCCCAGCACAGGCAGCCGTTGCCTCCTACGCCCAGGGCTGTCCCTGGGGCAGGGGAGCCGGGAAAGGCCTTACCTTCCATGGGGTGATGGTCCTCTGCAGAGGCATCAGGCTTGCCATGTAGTGCTCCTAGGGAGGAGGGGGAGGAGGAGGAGGCAGGTGGGGGTGGAGTTTCTCACGGGACGGAGGGGAGCTGTTCCTCCCTATTGCCTTGGCTCCTCCCAGCCACAGCCAGCCCCCCTCCCCCCCCCACTTACCAGGGGGATGATGAAGCTCTGGGTGAGCTCCAAGAGCTGGCGCCTCAGCAGGGCGTTCTGGGCCTCCGACGGGCGCTGCTTCTGGATGCCCTGTGGAGCATGGCAGGGCTCAGCCAAGATTCACCTGCCTTGCCCTGCCCTGCCCACGGGGCGCCCAGGGTGGCTTCCCTTGCTCACTGGTTCAGAAACACCAGGGAGGGGGAAACCATCCAGGCCCCCCCGCCTGTCCAGGGAGGGAGGGAATGGCCTGAGGAGCGGCTGCTGCAAGGCAGGGAGGGCCAGCCCTACCCCTCCCCCTCCTTTCAGGCCAGGCCGGGAGAGGCTCTGCTGGGAACCCTCCCCCCCTCCCCCACCACCTTTGTTCCTGCGGAGTTGCTGGGGGGGGGGAGGGAAGCCTTGAGCCCGAGGGGGCTGCGGGGGCCGACTGTCCCTAGAGGAAAGGGGAGCAGGTGTCCCCTCCCCACCCCCGTGCCTCCGGCAGGGCAGCCCCCCTCCCACCCCTTATGATTTCCTTGGGACTCTGCCCAAAATTTCAGAATTCGGCTCTGACTCACTTTCAGGAGGGTCTTGATCAGCGTCTTGTCCTTGTGCAAAAATGCTTTGTAAGATGTGTAAAGTCCTGAAATGGGGCCAGAAGAGCCAGCCAATCAGAGGAGAGACGAAGCTGCAAGGGGGGGGGGCACCCTCCAAGCCAGCTGCTTGGCTGAGCCCCCCACCCCCGCCTGGGCCTCCCTATCCAGCAGCTGGGGCAACTGGGGAGAAAGAGGGTCAGCGGGAGGCTCACCTGTCTTGGTGTCCAAGGTCTTCAGCTTGGCAGGTTTCTTCAGCTTCACCTGCTTGGGCAAGTCCCCTGCACGGGAGTATCAAGACAGGGCAGTGCCAGGCTGGGCTGCCAATGCCGGACCCCTGCCCAGGCCCAAAGTGGCAGCTTCCTGCCTGGCAGTGGAGAAGCCATTCCTCCTCCCGCCTCAGGCTCAGCTGCCTCTCATGCCCACGCCATGGGCAAGCTCGGCACCCCCACCCAGAGGGCCCAGCCCTGCCTTACCAGCCATCCGGAGCTCCCCCAGGCGGAGGATGTGGGGCCAGTGCTGCAGCACCTTGATAAAGAAGGGGTTCGTGACGCCCAGGAGGACGCTGGGGCTGAGGGGAGCAAGCGGAGGGGTGAGGAAGGGCTTCCTCCCTGGAGGCCCAAGAGGCACCCTGGGCAGAGGGGTGGGGGGGAGACTCACGGGCCCTGGCGACGCGTCGTGTACTCTCTGAACTCACTGTCGTGAATAGTGAAGTATGGGCGGAAATCGCAGCAGTACTTCAAGGGTGCCAGGCAGCTGTTGGGGGTGTTTGAAGAAAGCAATTCCTGCTTGAGAGCAGCCAGAGCTGGGTTGGGCTGTGGGGAGGAGGCAGGGCTGCCTGGAGAGGGTCCCTGGGCCTCCCTATCGGCCCCCGGCAGCTGTGCATGGAGCAAGCAGGGGACCGGCCGCGTGTGAGTCTGGTACCTGGCTAGGGCAAGGACCACCTCGGAGGACATGGCGGGGGAGGGGGCCACCACCACCAGGGGCTCCCCGAGCAGGACGAGCTCCCACAGCAGCTGAATGTGGACCAGCACCGACTGAAAGCACCTGTTCCAAGAGCAGGAGAGGGAGAGGGCACAGCTGGGCATTGGGCACACGAAAGGCTGCCCTCCAGCACTGCACGCAGCCCCCTCTTGGGTCAGGTCCTAGGAACCTCACAAGCGTCCAGCCCCTCAGGGTATGGGGGGGGAACCCGTCTGGAGTGCCCACAGTCTCCCCCTCCTCCTTTGTGTTTCTGTGGCCGAGGCTTTGCCCAGGCTGGTCCGAGCGGCTGGCCAGGCAGGTATCCTCCCCGCCCCACGGGACAGCAGGGAGAGCCCTCCTCACCTGAAGAGGTCCAGTTCAGCAACACTGGGCAGGATGACGGGAGCTGGCAGGAGGTTCTGGGCAGGAGAAAAGAGAAGGGGAGAAGGAGGGAGGCACAGCTGCCCCCGTCCCACACGCTAGGAAGGCCTCCCCAAAGAAAAGGCTTGGACTCCGTCTGGGAAGAGCCCAATCCGGCCTCTTCGGGTGGCCTGGACAGAGAGGAGCATCCAGAAGGTGGGCCCCAGAGGGACATCCTGGCTATTTTTGAGCAGAAGCAAGGATGCACTACCCCCCCCCCCCACCGGGCAGAACATCCTCTCCGCACCACAGAACGCAGAGACCAGGGTTTGTGGGCTGTCTGAACAATGGGCTTCCTGGAGGCCACAACCTTAAAACCAGACAGCCGCCACCTGTCAGCACAGGGGCCTCCCTGGGAAGGGGGCCCAGAGGGCTTGGTCAGCCACGGCAGGTCTTCAAGCGGGGTCTTTCCAAAGGCCCATCTGGTCCATGGGCAAGCCCAGGGGGCAGCCGCCCAGCCCCTGCAGGCTCAACTTTACAGCCGCTGGCATCAGGCGGTGCTCAGGGCAAAAGCCGGAAGAGGGTGAGCTAGGAGGAAGGACCTCCCAGCAGTGCTGCCAGCAGAACGAGGCGCCAGCCTTCCTGGGGAAGCTCCACAGGAGATGCGGCCAGAGAAGCAGCTTCTACTCTGGTGTAACGAACAGGATCTTGCCAATCAGCAGGCAGAAAGGTCCGCCCATGAGGTTCTTCCCCTGACCGCTGAGTCCCTGGGGGCCCCTCCTCTGAACAGCCACTTTCCCCTCCTCGCCCCAAGGTCACCCGCAGGGGCCACTGCAGGAAGCCCGCTGTCCCTCACCTCCCAAATCAGCGGCTTGGCAGGGCAGGAGTCGGGCTTGTCCACCTGGGAAGGAATCTTCACCTGCGCCACAAAGAGCAGAGGACCAAATGGAGGCCCCTCCCTCAACACAGCTGCGCTCCAGGCAGGAGGCGGCCACGGAAAGCGGCACCAGGCAGGAAGCTCCCCCCCCACCCCGCCCATACCTGAATCACCACCCCCATCACCGGCAGGTTCAGCGTCTGGCCAGGCACTGGGGGCGGCCACTGGTCGATCTCGCTGCAGACTAGAGGAAGCACAAAGGGAAGGGCGGCTGAGGGGGGTGGGTGGGCTGGGACTCTATCCTTGCTTGCCCCCTCAGGCCCAGGAGCCCAGAAACACGGGGTGGGGGGGAGACCCCGCAGCTTTCCCTCCCAAAGGGCCCCAGGCGGTGCACAGGCAGCCAGAGGGGTCCCAGCCCCCTGGTGATCCTCACCTGCCTCCAGGCAGGGGTCCAGCTTTTCAAAGTACTCGGGGGCGACCAGGTGCAGCAGCGAGTGGAAGAGGGTCACGTAGGGCAGCCGAGTCACCAGGACCAGCGACTGGAGCGAAAGGCAGAGACCCTGAACCTTCCCCCGGGGCGGACCCCCCTCCCTCCCTCCCTCCCTCCCCACAAGGGGGGCAGCGCTCCTTCCAGGAGGGGAGGGGGCGTAGGAGCCCCCTGGGTGGGGCAGCCCCCCCCCCCCCCCCCCCCCCCCCCCCCCCGCCCCCCCCACCCCCCCCCCCCCCCCCCCCCCCCCCCCCCCCCGCCCCCCCCCCGGCCCCCCCCCCCCCCCCCCCCCCCCCCCCCTCTTCTCCAACACACCCCCG